CAATATGCGTTTTTGCTGCCTGTTGCAGCGCTCTAGCGCTGCACTGCAAAAACGCATAAAAAGGAGTGGCGTGAAGGAGCTCTGAGGGATGAGGGTTAAATTTATTATATTTTATTCCTCAATCTCCCATGTTATAAGTTCATTCAAAGCGTCAAATGGCATGCGTCCAATTATAATTTCTTTCACCACTGCATCAAAAACAACCACATTTTATGCAGTTGCAACGGATTAATTTGGATTTTATGGTCCTTCCACAGTTTCGATTCCTATTCATACTGAATTAGTGACGCTGCGGAGGAGGGGGAAGGGAAGTGGTGAGTGACGTATGGAATAGGTAGATTTGTTCCTAGATGTTAGCTTTTTCCTCCAAATTCGTAGTACCATTATTGCATTTCAGCGTTACTTGCAGTTTTGGGTTCGTGGGAACTGCATTTGCGGAACTGCTTGCATTTTGAAGGAGCAGTCGAACAGGAACTCTAAATTCTGCACATACCGCAAAATATGGAACATAACTGCCCTTGCAATTCATCAGACGCAAATGCGCCTCAAACGTACGTGTGCTTAGGTGCACTGATAAACAACCATTTCATCGTACCGTATCTTTACACCATCAGCGTAACTTTCATCCTCTGTACCGGCTCTCTGCTCGCAGCACGAGGAAAGTGGATGAGAAATGAATGTCCAGGATGACGAGGAACGAGAGTTGATGAGTCGGAATGCATGAATGTTCAAAAGCACTACTCACCGTACAGCAATGTCAATCAAACGGCAATTAACCGGTCGTGTGTTCCATTTGTCAATCATCCGGCTCTTTGCGGAACAACTACCTGTTGCGACACTCGGGTGAGGCAGAAAATCGCGTCTCCTCTTCCGTATTATCAGTGAATGCGGTGAGGTCTAGTTGGTATATTGCAGCATAGCTGTCGTTTATCGTTATTCATGGTCGAAAAACAGCACGGTAACTCAGTGAGCCGAAAAGATCTGGGCAAATTCACAGTAACTCAATGAACCGAAAAAATTTTCAAGAGTTCTGAAAAGTCCTCTCTCGTCTTCATTCGGCACCAAAATTGTTGGATAGAATGAAGATTTGAATAATTAACGCAGTTAAAATCAGCCGAAGGAAGGCCTCATTCGATCTCAGGCTAGCGGTCGACTGAGTCTATTTCCTCACACATCATGCTCATGATGAAGAACCAACTGAAAGAATTATGAAGAAAAGCCAGCAGCCTTTTTACTCAAATTTTTGATGTACTCTTAATTTCAGCTGACAACAACTGAAAATGCAATCGACCAGAAACGGTGGCCAGCTATCTGTTCTTGGCTTATTCTTGATTTACGCATTTTAGCTCGGCTTAGCTCGATGCATTGTTGTTTTTGATGGACAGGTGCCTGATGTTGAACTAGCGGATTTTTGCGGCCGTCAGCAAGGAGCTCGAGGAAATGCAGTTGGTGCGGAAGGTGAGGGACATGCATGCTCGTACACAGCTGCATTCCCATCACAAATGACCCACCTGCCAAAACAAACAACAGAGTGGACGGTCGGTCGGCCGCCTCCCATGGGTAAATTAACGCACCGTTACATCAGCGGCACCGATCCACAACACATTACGTGCCTCATTATTGGCGGCTTATTCTTGCTTTGCGCAGCCTAAAAGAGCTTGTGCTTGCTTATTTGAAGGCCGCTCTGTGTGCGTTATCCGGAGCGGCAGCGGTGGCACACCTGACCATCGGCACTCAATCACTCACCCTCGACCACCCTCGCGACGATTAATTTTATGAAACTGCAAATGCAATAAAATGAATTTCTGCTTTTTCCGCTTCTACAGCTAAAATGCTTAAGCTTTGCAAGGCTGAGATGCACCAGTATTTCAGCAGGAAATAAAGGAAAAAATAGAAAAAGGGAAAGAGCCCCATCCGGCAATCATCGGGAGAACTGACAACACATGTGTGATAATGGAATTTTTAGTTGTGTATTTTTTATTTATACGTAATTATGACTTTGAATATATGTATAAACTTAAATTTTTTTAAGTATGTATAAACTTAAATTAAGCCTAAACTAAAATGCACTAGGCTTTAATTAAAAAATTAGATGGAGAGGCCGTTTCATTGCCAGATTTTCATTCTCACTCCTCGTTCAGTAGTCCATCAGCGAGCAAAATGTACCCATTCTGGGCACGCCAAATCGTCGGGATGGGAAGCAAAATTTGATTACCATAGGCGCTGTTTTAGCAGTGTCACGCCATCAAA